CTCGAACCCGCGGGCTCAGGCGATCCACTCACCTCAGCCTCCCAAAGGCGTGGGATTACAGGCTGAGCCACCGAGCCCAGCCAGTTACTGGACTCTTACCACTGGCCAGAGTCCTCTATCAGGACTCAGGAGGCTGAAGTGGGAAGCTCCCTTGAACCCAGGAGGCCCAGACTGTGGTAAGCTGTGGTCGTGCCACTGCACTCCAGCCTGGGTGGCAGAGTGAGACCCTGACCAAAACAAAACCAAACCCATAACAAAGGCCCCTGTGGAGCTCACATGGTAGATGCAATAGACACGACATGAGCATGGGCTTCGTCTGTGATTGTGACGCTGACTGGGGCTTGATGGGAGACGAGGCTGGCCCGGAACGTCAGGTGCCCTTCTGGGAGCCAGGGTCTGGGAGGTGGGCCCAGTGGCACTGGAGGCCTGGCTGGCAGGCCCGGCCCCTGGACCGCCGCCCGCTCCGCCCGCCCCGCCCCAGGTACCAGCGGAAGTGGGACGAGCTGGCGGTGCAGGAGCAGCTGTCCCGCCAGGAGCACGAGCAGCTGGCCAGCAGCAAGCGGGAGGTCGTGGCCTTCCTCAAGCGCATGCTCAGCCAACGCGCGGAGGAGCTGGCCGACCTCAACGAGCAGCTGCAGGGCCTGCAGCTGGCCAAGGAGATGGAGAAGGACGCCTTCGAGGCACAGCTCGCCCAGGTGCGCCACGAGTTCCAGGAGACCAAGGACCAGCTCACCACGGAGAACGCCATCCTCGGTAAGGCGGGCACCCAGGGCTGGAGTCCCCTCTCTCTGGACTGAGTCTGTGAGCCTGGGCAGGCCCTTCTCTCCGGCCCCCAGTGTCCTCTCCTGGAAAACAGGGTGACACGGCTAGCTGGAACCACAGTGGCTACGTGCTGCTCGGGCCCGTTCTCTTCCAGGAGGTGGGAAATGCTACCCCTCCCCCCACCACATTTGGAAAAAGGGAAGCATTAGCCAGGCATGGTGGCTCATGCCTGTCATCCCAGCACTTTGGGAGCCCGGGGGTTCGAGACCCGCCTGGGCAACTTGGCGAGACCTCATCTCTACAATAAATCAAAAAATTAACTGGGCATGGTGGTGCACGCCTGTAGTCCCAGCTACTTGGAAGGCTGAGGTGGAAGGATCGCCGGAGCCCAGCAGGTCGAGGCTGCGGTGGCCGGGAGTGGCCACTGCACTCCAGTCTGGGCGACGGAGTGAGACTCCAACTCAAAAAAAAAAAAATTTAAGTATCTTGCCCAAGGTCACCCAGCTGGCCAGGGTTGTGAGGTCAAGTGAGAGCATAAGGGCCTGGCCAGAGAGGGGAGGCTTTCGGATCGAGGGGGCTTCTCGAGGCAGGTGGAGCCTCAACAAGGCTTGCAGAGGCTCCTGGAGGGGGCAGGCGGGCGGCCCAGACCGGGCAGGAAGGGCAGCAGGCCGAGCAGGCTTGGCCAGGAAGACTGCCCCGCAGGGCCAGGTGGCGCAGGAAGGGCCGGAGGATGTGGGTGGGAAGGGGCAGGGCCGAGGGCCCCCCGAGGCCCTTGCCGCCCCGCTGTGCCCCGTCCTTCGAGGCTGCCCCCCCACCTCACGCCCTGCGGTGGCCAGGGGGGAAGCTGACAGCCCTGGAGGAGTTCCGGCTGCAGAAGGAGGAGCTCACGGACAAGCTCACGTCGCTGGAGGACCAGCTGCAGAAGCAGGAGAGCGAACACCGAGACTATGTGTACAACCTGGAGAAGAAGTCGGTGCTGGACAAGGACAGGTGGGTGGGCGGGGCCCCCGCCCGGGAGCCTTCATCAGCAGGGCCACCACCCCCAGTCTGTGGGCCTCAGCCTCTAGCTGGGGCTGGACTGGGGCACGGACGCCCGGGCCTGCTGCTCCTTGGGACCCTGGTTGGAGATTGATGGAGGGGTGGGAGCCAATGAAAATGCTGCAGCCGTGCGCGGCAGCTCACGTCCGTGATCCCAGCACTTTGGGAGGCCCAGGCGGGAGGATCGCTTAAGCCCAGGAGTTGGAGGCTGCGGTGAGCCGTGATCATGCCACTGCACTCCAGCCTGGGCAACAGAATGAGATCCTGACCCCTCCGAAGAAAAAAGTAAGAAAACGAACAAGCTTCCAGCTCTGGTCCTCATGCTGAATTTGGAGACACCCAGGCTTCCTTTGCCACTCTCTGCGGTTTAAATTATACCGATTTGATCGGCACTCATACAGGGAGATGGGGCAAATTCCAACAGTCCAGGGGTCTCCAGGGAACAGCCTCCCGTCCTACCCCCCGCCCCGGGGCAGCGTGCGAGGCATGTCCGGCCGAGGGCTCTGGGGAGCCGCCGAGGAGGGGGCGGCCCGGGGCCTGCTCCCAGCCCGCCCCGCCCCCTCCCGCCAGGCCGAGGAAGGAGATCATCCAGCGCGTGAACCTGGTGGCCACGGAGTTCCGCAAGGTGGCCAAGAACCAGATGTGGGAGACCACGCGGCGCGCCATCCTGGAGAACAGCAGCGCGGCGCTGCAGCTGGCCAAGCTGGCGCGGCAGGGCGCGCGGCTGCTGCAGGAGAACGAGCAGCTCAGGGGCAGCCGGGACGCGCTGAGCCTGCAGCTGCAGCTGCTGGAGCACGCGCAGGAGGTCATGGCCAGCCACCG